TTCAACTCCCAGAATTCCCCAGCCAGCTGGCTGGGGAATTCTGGGAGTTGAAGTCCACATAGCTTAAAATTGCTGAGATTGAGAAACACTGTGTTAAGCACTATATCACACAGACTCGTGTATTCTCTAACTTTCCCCACTTGTGAAACTTTCCCTACTTCATGAAAATGCCAGCGAGTGATAGTTGTACAAAGGCACTTCCATGTTGATGTTCGTTCAGAAGATTGAAACCAGAGCTTGCAACACCACAACGCCTTCCTGCCAGTGTATTGATTGTGACGCATCTCAGAATGGGAACTCTAGCTGTGCAAAAACATTATACCAACCAAAATTATGAAGGGAAGGCTTGGCAACGTGAATATATTTATTTTGTGATCTGCCCTGAGAATTTTACTCATGAGAGAAGCTAACCGGTGGTTGTAAGTATGGAAGCTAAGTCAATAAATGGTGCCTCCTTCTACAGTCCCCAGTGGATTGGAGATCTTCGGAAAGATGAACTAAACTTTCTACCTTATTATGGATTTCATTTGGAAGCTTACTAGCTTTTTTCCCCCCTGTTCCACCCAATCAGAATATTGTTTTTCCTTTCCTTTCCAACCAGGATGGCTAAACACAACTCCAAAGCTCATCTCCCAGATCCAAAAAGGAAAGATGTTGTGGGTTCTCGATCAGCAAGAATTAGGACAAGGGGAGGTGCAGCCAAGTAACACTTCTGATGAGAAATTGGATATTCCAGTTTGCCGGAAACAGTTAAGTAGAGGATCCAGCCCTGAATTATCTCTTTCCAGTTTAGTCTCGTTTTGCACAGGTAAGAGACTCTGCTTATGGTGGCTTTGATTTTGTTGATGCAGATGCCTTTCACAAATGGTGTGTGTGTGCGAAAGAGGAGTGAACTGCTGTGTTGCTGGTTCCCTGGGTGTTAAGTTCCATGGAACTTTATAAAGCAATTTTAAAGTAAAAGTACATTGGATTTAAAGGATCACTGGTGGTAATGTTTTAAAAATGCATTAACAGTATTTATGATTTAATTATGTGTTTATTATGTTTACGGTTTGTCATAGACAGTAGTTTTTGTCATTTTACAGTCGGAAACTATCACAATTCCTTTTGGAGTCTTGCTGAGGAAAAATATAGTTAATCAATCAAAAATATATAAACCACGGCTCTATCCATGATCCAGGTGACTTCATCTATGAAAAGGGCTGGTCAAGAGTTATTATCTCCCCAGAGCTGCCTAAAGTGGGTGGAAGACAGCAAAAAAAAAAAAGCTTTAAATAAAAATATTATAATCAAAATGATAACATTAAGAACAGTATTGACAAAAACTAAAATGAAATATGTGAACATGAAAAGCAGGCTGGTTAAAAGACCATGCAAATTGAAAGCCCAAAGAGTTGTGAAAGAGATGGTCAATTCCAGAGAAATGCAATAACTTTTTCATTGATGTGGACTTTCTTTTTTAATTGGCAGCTGGCTAGCCTATATAAGGCGGACCTGAGATTTCTCTGTTATTCAGGCCTATCTTGTGCTGCATTTTACATAATGAAAAATATAGAATTCCATCAAGGTATTACATAAAAGAGAAATAATGTTCATTTTTGAAATCCACTGGTGTGGAATTTTTTTGCCAAAGACAGGAGTACAACACTGAGGAGAAGAACCATGTTTATTGCAATGATCATAGGGTGCCCGCTTTCCAAGAAAGAGGGATCCTGAATGATGCATAAGCAGAGAATGTATACACTTTTGAGGTTGAGAGATAGGAAATCTGAGGGATCTGATTCAAGGATAGGTTTGGATAGGTGCTAAATGGGGGATAAATAGGTTTTCTATTGTGAGATAAGCAGACAGGTGATGGCCCTCCCATTGTTTCAGTATGATAGCCTTAAGAGGGCTATTTCTGGCAGTGGAACATGGTCACTCTTGCCTCATGCATTAGCCTGGAGCTGATCTTGTTTTGTATGAGCAAAGAATGGCAGAAGGAAGTGGAGAAAAGAGTTTGCAGGAGAGGCAAGGGGGAGGGGGCAGAAAGAGAGGCAAGGGGGAGGGGGGAAGAGTTTCCAGCTTTATTTTATTATATTTCCATCACACCGCCTTCTTAAGTCTATCATAAACCAGACTGAGTTCAATGGGACATATTCTTGAGTAACAACTCATACGCAACACAGCGACAGTTTAGGGGCCAAAACAGAAAGAATAATGATGCTATGGGTTATGGAGGAAGTATCTAGTAGTCTTCCCAAATTATGGCTAGGATCAAAAGAAGGAAATCCCAAGGACTGAGGTATGTTCCATGGAATGTTGTGTATAAGATAGCACATTGAGTTTATTCCAGACTAAAGAGACAGACATTGCTGGTATAATGCGTCCCTAATCTTTTCTATCAGTGGGCGTATTTGAAAAGTTGAATGCTTATTGTAGGCGCTACAGCTGTCATTGGGCAATGATCTCACACAAATAGTCACAAAACAAGTGTCAGGGCAAGTTTGAGAGTATATTGATGCCTGTGGGTATCATGCTAAGATTAAGACCAATAGCTTTGCCAGTGGAGTCTGATGTGACTTATGCGGCCAGTTGTGATCTTTCCTGCAGAAAGGTAGCCTAACCACAACCCCTTCTATGTTGGTAACAGTCAGACTTGATGACTATATTACCATGGTTCCCCATCTGGGCACTAGGGTGCCCTGGGGCATTACAGAAAACCTAGAGGGGTGCCAAGGGATAATCCAGTGATACCTGACATCTGTTGGACACCAAGCCAACTATGAGCCTAGGGAAACCATGAAAGAGTTTATGAGACATCAAGAGTGCTGTGAACCAAGAAGGTTTGAGAACTTCTGCTATTCATGGGGCTGCCTTTGAACACTTCTTGGATACTTCTTGGAAACTTTTGTTAATGAGTTCTTAGCTCTCCTAACCAGACTGTTAAGAGGAATTGGCTGTAGAGGTCATATCATACCAGATAAGAAATGCCAAATGCCAATCCATTTGTAAGCACAGCTCAAAAACTCTATTGGGTGTGAGACCTGGATACCCATTGTGAGGATAGTGTCAGGGAAAAACCACGTTAAACACGGGAGACAGACACACCATAAAACAAGTCACTCCAAAGTTCTAAAAACTTTATTAAATGTTAGTTCAACAAGCAAGTAAAATTCAATCATAAGCATACAAGGTACTTACTTAGATTCACATTGCAATGCAGATCAACAAGAGCAAGCCGTCAACTGAGACAGCTTGGCCATGTGGTCCCGACCCTTTAGTTGCAATCCTTTTTATCCCTAAGAACCGCAAACCACAATCATGACTCTCAGGATTTTCAACTGAATCATAACGTTCCCAGTGCTAATATTACCACACTTCCCTGTTCCCTTTGTCCCTGTCACGTCTGTTCCCATCAACAAGTTTGGTTATTTAACAATTTACTTAGTTTTGCAAGTTTTACTTATTTCCTGTTACTGGCTCAAAGGTCATCTCCAAGTTAGCCCTTGCTTTTATTATTAAATGTGATTAAACAACATATTAAAATAAGTTTTAGGCCACTAGCATTTTTCCTCTCACAATAGCAACATTTTTGGGTCTGGAGACTACACTTAGTTCCATGATTGGTGATGTTGTGGTGTCACCAGAGTGTCTATGGCTGAAATACCTTGCTTCCCTCTCCCCACTTTTCAGAAGGGTAAGAATGCCCATTAAAATTCACCCCAATTTTATGAGGAGCTTAGGATAGTTTACATCTCTTCAGCCTAGGTAACTTTTTTGCCCTTTTATGAACATATCTAGTAAGAATATTATGGAGGGTTTGGGTCCTTAAGATTCTGAATTTCGGTGGGTGGTGAATGGTTTTCTAAGATACGGTGCCTAATTATGCAGATCTCTTACTAGTAAGAACAAGCTTGAGAGAATCTTCCCTCATCAGGAAAAACACTTCTCTATTTCTATACATCTTTATATGATGCTAATCGATTGTACTATTAATCAAAAGCCCTAGTTAACTACTGAGCACTTAGCAGCCTTTTCACACTTAAAGATGAAATGTCAGGTTTTTAAAAAATAAGCTATACATCAGCATTCTAAGAGAGAAGAAGGATCTGTGGTTGGTTTTAATTTCCTGGGTAACATTTTATTTTTATTTCATCAGAGGTTGAACAGCTGAGGGAGGAGGAACAATGCCTTCAGAGAGAAAGTTCTCCACTGGAAAAACAAAGGAAATCATTGCAGCAGAGTAAAAATAGGCTTTCCCTTTCTATAAAGAGAAGAAAAGACTCTGGAATACAGTCTGGAACCAAGAAGACCCAAAGTGAACACAATCAGAAGAAAGCCAGTTCTTGTGAGGAAAACAACCAGAACGTCCTTAGAACGATAGTCCAAGAGACGTGTTGCAGGGGTGAAACTTCAGATGTATGTGAAGCAGGGAGCTCTGCTTCTCATCCAGCAGCATCACCATTTCAGTGCTTCATCTGTGGGAGAATTTGTCCCCACAATGCAGCCCTTATAGCACACCTGAGATCACACGCTCGAGAGAAGCTTTACACGTGTCTTGATTGTGGGAAGAAGTTCAGCGGGAGAGCAAATCTTAATAGGCATGAGAAAATTCATTCAGGAGAGAAGCCGTACCCCTGCTCTGGTTGTGGGAAAAAGTTCCTTGACAAAGAACATCTTCTTTGTCATACAAAAACTCATTCCGGTGAGAAACATTACCCATGCTCACATTGTGGGAAAAAGTTTATTTCCAAAGCTCATGTTGTTAGGCATGAAAAGATCCATTTAGGACTGAAGCTGTTTGCTTGCTTATACTGTGGGAAATGTTTCAGAGAGAGAGAACACCTTCACGTTCACGAGAGAATCCACACGGGAGAAAAACCGTACAAGTGCTCAGCTTGTGGAAGAAGCTTCAATTGCCTGTCAAACTTTAACCGGCACAAGAAAATTCATGGAGGAGAAAAACCACATAAGTGTTCAGATTGTGAGAAAAGCTTCAGAAATATTTCAGACCTTAAACTTCATGAGAGAGTCCACACCGGTGAGAAACCTTATCAGTGCTCTGACTGTGGGAAAAGCTTCAGTACGGGTCCCAACTTTATCAGTCATCTGAGAACCCACAAAAAAGAAAAGCCGTATAAATGTCCGGAATGCGGCAGATGTTTAAAGCACAAATTCTCCTTGATGAAACATCAGCGAATACATAAGTATAAATGCCTCGACTGTGGGAAAAGTTTCAGCCAAAGCTCACTCCTTGAACGACACAGAAGAAAACATACTGGCGAGAAACCATTTCAGTGCACACACTGTGGGAAATGCTTTGACCGCAAATCTTCCCTGGTTATACACGAAAGGATTCACACAGGAGAGAAGCCGTATGGCTGTTCAGGGTGCGAGAAAAGCTTTGTTACCAGATATAAACTAAATCAGCACGAGCAGATCCACAGAGGAGAGAAACCAGAGACCTGTTTTGTGAACAGTGAAGCTATATATTGAAAACTCGTATGAAATATACCATTTTTTCAGTCTTTACTGCATGGGGCACCATGTTCCATGTGTTGGCCACTGTGAGGTTCAGCAGAGAAAATTCCTTCATTAGGCACATCTAGTGCCATTGGAATTGCCTGTCAATCTTGATTTTAACCATGGGATCCCTGACACCGGCCTTGTCTTTTGCTCAGCTTTCTTCTGCTGCTTTCTGGGCCACAACGCACAAGCCAGGCTCAAAATGATAGTCAAGAGCGAAAGTCAAGACAGCAGAATAATTTGCTTTAGTTACACCAGGAGCTCTTTCTATAGGTTTCATTGTGAAACAATCCAGATTTACACGTCTGCTCTGTAATTTATTATATAGGGAAGGGAAGGAACACCGAGCAACTGAAGAGGGTTGGAGCCTTCAGCAAGGAAGAAGCAAAAGGAACAGAATAATAGCAGTATGGGTATAGTTCATTGCACCAAGCAGACAGTCTTTGTCTTCGCTGAAGGAACTGAAAATCTCTGTATTGGTGGAGCAGGATTTTGAGTTTTGTTGGTAGCCACTGGGGAGACTTCCATCAAGGAAGTCTTGACAGTTTTTGTACTACCACCTTTCTGTCACTCTTCAGAAGCATGTGCTTGGTCATTTCCCTCTCTGGCCCTACACACACACACACACGCTGGCCAGCATTTCTATAAAGCAAGTGTGCACAATTTCTTTAGGCTAAAGGGCAAGTCCTGCCAGCTCCATTTCAAAACATAGCACCATGGGGGAAAAAAGCCTGCATTTGACTCAGTATAATTGGAGTTGAGTTAAAATAATTGGAGTTAAGAGTTTAAATACAAGGAGTCCCTAGACATTACATTATTCTTCCTTTCTGTTGCATGAAAACTTACATTTGATGACCCTTTTCTGGGACAGTCTCTTAGGGCTGTGCTTCAGTTCAGAGGTGGCTTTCCATCTGGACGCTCAGTTGATACGCTTCCACTGAAGACTCAGCATTTTGGGGCAAGAGAGAAAGAAACGTCATGCAAAAGCTCCTTCCTCTTCATTGGGGTCTTTCTTTCCAGCAGGGCAATTGAGCACCTGCTCTTGGACTTCCTTCCAGAGGACCATCGTCCAAGAGCAGACATGGGCAGCATTTTCACCTGAGAGCTACAACCCACCTTCCCCATCTGCTAGTGGCCCACAGGAGGCCCTTTCAATGAAGCAATGACATCAGTGGCCAAAATGTTCACTCCTTAATGTTTTTGGAGAGTTGGGGTGGGATTTGAAACAATGGAAGTTGGTTCTTTGGACTCTCAGCACACCTATATCTACTTACACTGTTCAGATCCCACCCTTGGCCACTGAATGTTGTTGGTACAATCTCAGGGTGCTTTGAGGACCGGGGAGCTACATTTTGGACACCTGTTGCCTGCCCTTACCTTACAGGTTGGTGGCTCTACTTTGAAGGTTGCTGTAATCTCTGGCAAGGAGAACATCAATCACTACAAGAAACAGTTGAGATGAACAGATACTGATAGAAAGCTTTAGTCATCCTTTAAGCTTGATAAGAGATAACAGAGAGCCTACCAGTGAGAAACCAGTTAAGTGGGAAATATTTCAGGCCACAATCAAATGTTTAAGGCAGTGTTTCTCAACCTCGGCAACTTTAAGATGAGTGGACTTCAACTCCCAGAATTCCCCAGCCAGCTCATGGGGAATTCATGGCTGGCTGGGGCATTCTGGGAGTTGAAGTCCACACATCTTAAAGTTGCCGAGGTTGAGAAACGCTGGTTTAAGGCATATATGAACTCAGATGCGTGTGTGCAAAAAGAGCTGTCGGTTGGAATATTTGGCTGCTAAAGCTCTATAAACATTGGGTGGAAGGAAGACCGTGCTAAATTATTAGCTGCTCAAGGCCAGAGTTGGTATATGTTGCCGACCATAATCAGGCAATATTATACACAAATTGCTTTATGTGAATGAAATGGATGGTTATCCATACTGTTATTAGAGGGGCGTGCAGAGATCTGGATTTTAAGGGGAAAAAGGATTCAGAGAGCACATCGTTTACCTGTGAATTCCTTAAATCAAACAATTTTTCCTAGATTTTGCGAGGCAGGAAAAGATGCAGCTTCTGTAGAAGGTATCAAGAATTGCTAAGCAAGTGCCCTTTTCCACACCGGATCATCTTTTTCCTTTGAATTTGGATTTTTGCCTAGTTCTAAGTATTATATGAGTTAGCATTTATACTATAACATGCGTGAATTCTTACTTAGGCTTGATGTTTTATACGGCTTGTATGATTTGCTTTCCAGGGGTCATATAAATGAAGTACTGTCTACATCAGACTGTAGTTGGCAGCTAAACATATTTATTTTTTATGTTTACAGTATTTTTTTGTAAAGGCCACAGGGAGCATGGGGTGACCCAATGGCCAGACTCTTCAGCCATACTTGTTTAAAGATGAGTTTGGGAGAAGCTGGTTAAAGTAGGTCAACTCGTTTTACTGGGGTACATTGCACTTATTCTTCTTCCTGTTTTTTTTTTTTTTTTTAAACAGGCAGAAAACTTTAACAGGCAGAAAACTGAGTAATGCAGAGCACAGGAGCTGCAGAAACATTGCTAACACTTCTTCAGGCTGTGGAACCTGTTAGGAAAACAAAAATTCCTAGAACCTGGTTAAGAGTCAAAGCTCTAGTGATAAAATTGACTGTGTTGAGTAAACTTTATTTTATTTTATTTTACTTTATTTTATTGGCCATACTCTCTCTTGGAACCCCATCAGATTCTCACAGAAACCTGGGTCAGTGGAAGAGTTTGAAAAACCCTGTTTTGACGCATTCTTTGAAGAAGCAGGATAGGAAGAGTCTTGACGCCTTTGAACTCTGGGGTTGAAGAAGACTCCTGAGAATACCGTGGACAGCCAGGAAAAAAAAAAACCAATGGATCATTGAACAAATCAACCCAGAGTTCTCGCTCAAGGCACACAGGACCAGGCTCAAATTATCCAACTTTGGACACATTATTTGAAGACCCAGCTCTCTGGAGAAGGTTCTGATGCTGAGAAAGGTGGAAGGAAAGAGAAGAAGAGGACGACCAGCACTAAAGAACAGGTTAGGGGTAGATCATTGTGGAGAATATCTATCTACATGCCACTGACATAATACTGAGAATGGGAAACAAAACTAGATCAAACTAAGAGTCAAAGAAAGAGGTTACCACCATTAAATATTTGAGAGTTTTTTCCCCTTCTTTCCTTTATTTAATATCTATGAATTTATACCAGTGTTTTGTGCATGCTTTGAGATGTTTGAGTTTGTTAAAAATATATTTTCAGATAGTGCCATCCTGAAACTAGCTGCAGTGGGGGAAAAAAACTACAGACATGTACATAAAATGAAACTAACTGTGTCCAGGCCCTGGCTGGGTTTACATATGATGTCAAGCCATGGTTTATTTAAACAGTGGATTATTTAATGGTCTGGGTTCACACAACATGGTGTGCTATTAACCATGGTTCTCAGGCAACAGGGCCTGAGTAACAAAATACATAAACCAAAACAAACCACATTCTGGATTAGCAAATCTTCAAATCCAAACTTCGGCTAGAGTTTCCTCCAGCGTTCCTTTCTTCCCAGCCCTCAGAAAATCCATAGGGGAATCTACATATATAGAAAAGAGATGGAGCTTCTATAAAAGTTTTGTTCAAAGAAAGAAAAATAAATGATTATCTGTAGAAATGTCTTCAGCTGTCAGCTTTGCATTTTTTACTGTTTTACCCTGCCCTGATGTCTTTTCACAGCACAGGCATGAAGCAAGAGCAGCTTTTCCTGCAAGTTATACTGATTAGTTGGATTCACACACTGCAGCAAGCCATGATTTGTTTTAACTATGATGTGCTGAATCACCCACAAGAGGGTTCATACTATGCTAAGACATCCACCCCTCCTGAATATGGGGGCCAGGATTTTCCAATGAGCTGGTTTCCACAAACACAAATACGTCAATTTATAATTGATGCATATAATTATGGATTTATAATTTCTGTTCAAGGTACCAGTCAAGAATTGAGAATTGCTTGGGAGTAAATTGGGTAGAGATGAGCTGGGAAATACCTGCCTGGCAGGAACTGCAACGTTGCAGAAGCAGAAAAAAGGTCTGCAGAGATCCCAACAGGATTACTCTGTCAAATTGTAACGAATGCAATAAAGATTATGAAGAAGAAGCAACAAATGCTGTGAGAATACTGAAAAACGAAGAGGTGCAGATTTACCTGGAGATATAAACCCAAATACCAGCAATGAAAGCAATACAATGAAACTTTGGGAAAAGTGGAATCATTGTAACAATCTAACTAAAAATTTCTCTACTTCTTCCCTGAATTCACATTTGGGAAACACTTCACAGTTTGGGAAACCTTGATCTAATGACTATCTGTATTTTTGCAGCCCAGATCTGATGACCTTCTACAGCAGCATTTCTCAACTTGGCAACTTTAAGATGGGTGGGCTTCAACCAGCTGGGGAATTCTGGGAGTTGAAGCCCACCCACCTTAGTTGCCACGGCTGAGAAACACTGTTCTGAGAATGCCAACTTTCTTGCATAGAAGAATCCCAGCCACATTAGTGGCTGTGTTCCTGTGACATACTTATCCCTTAACTTACCCAATAACCATAAGTTAATCCAATTTTCTGAGTTTGCACTGAACCCGAAACAAACCATACAGACTGAGTTTGCACAAGGTATGAGGTTAGATTCATTTCTTTGGATCTAAGACTTGTTTTGACCTCCCTGTGTCTGTTTCTCACCTGGCCTCTTGTCAGTAAAATGAGTCTCTGTATTTAAGAGTCAAGGGGAACTTCCTCCCTCTCCTTCTTCCCCCACCCTTCTCTCTCAATGTAGTTTAAATAGAAGAGAGGCTTTCCTATCTGGTGGATTTCTTAATAAATCTAACTTGTATTTCAAATCTAACAAATGTCTGTTAGCGTTCAGTGATAGCTGGGCTAGATTCTGTACCCAAGCCACGTTTATGATGAACATTTTTCTTTTTCAATGGGGCCCACTGCTGCTCGTGTTGTGGAAGGTGCAATGAACAGGTGGAACAACCAGCCTTAGAATTGACAATGAAGATATCGAAGTGGTGGACGGCTTCTGTCTTTTAGGATCAACCGTCAGTGGTAAAGGAACAAGCTGGTCAAGAAATATGCCACGGAGTAGCACTCGGTAGAGCAGCCATGAAGGCCTTGGAAGAGATTCAAATGTCATGATGTGTCTGTACCTATGAAGACCAGAATTGCACAGGCCGCGGTAGTCCCTGTGATACTCTATGGAAGCAAAAGTTGGACTTTGAAGAAGCAGGATAGGAAGACTTTGGAAGTTTGATGTTGGAGAAGACGCCTGAGAGTACCAAGAAAACAAACTGATGGATCATCAAACAAATGAACCCAGCGTTTTCACCCCAGGCACAAAGGACCAGGTTCAAATGATCCTACTTAGGGCACCTTATGCAAAGACCCAGCTCTCTGGAGAAGGCGCTGATGCTGGGAAGGTGGAAGGAAAGAGAAAGAGAAAAAGAGGAGGACCAGCAACAAGGGGGATGGACTCCATTATACTGGTGATGGGATCACTCTTGGCAGAGCTGAAGGACCAGGTAGGTTAGGGACAGATCCTCATGGAGAAAATCTATGTGGTCACTAAGAACAGTGTTCCTCAACCTTGGCCGCTTTAAGATAGGTGGACTTCAACTCCCAGAATTCCCCCCCCCACCCACCTCGGTTGGGGGATTCTTGTGGTTGAATTCACCCCACTTTAAATGGGCCAAAGGTGGGAAAACATTTTTCTTTTATAACAAAAAAAT